TTTTGTGTGTGTTATGTTGTATGAGTTCTTTATATATTTTGGATATGCAGATGCATCACATACAAATATGTTCTCCCAGTCACTAGTAGTAGGTTGTCTTTTTGTTTTGTTGATGATTTTCTTTGCTGTGTAAAACTTTTTAGTTTGATATGATCCCATTTGTTTCTTTTCTTTCCCCCTTTTGTATCAATGGCTTGAGGACAAATATCCAAAAATATATTCCTAAGATATCAGAGTTTACTTTGTATGTTTTTTTTCTAGAAGTTTTTGTTTGTTTGTTTAAGGTTTACCATTTAATTCTTTAATGAAAGAATTAATGAGTTTATTTTTGTATGGTATAAGAAAGTGGTTCAGTTTCATTTTTTTACATCCATCTGTAACTTTAATTATTGGTCTCAAAACTCCTATGCTACCTCAGCCTGCCTTAATCATAGAAGACAACCTTGACACATAACTTTGAGTAAAAATTAAGGGTATAGTGTAAAAATACTTCAACTTTCTTCCTTTTATCTTTCTCTCCATTCTGCCCCCAAGAAAAAACCCTGAACCCGTACCCGTTATTTATTTATTTTTGCCTCTGCTCTTGCAAGAATATGCATCTTCTCTCTGTTTCCCCTGTGGTCTTGCAATATCCATTATTTCCTCTCTTTCCTATCTTCTTAAAACTTTTTCTTTATAACCTATCTTTCTTGTCACCCTGTGAATATGTTTGATTATTCTATGATAGAACCAACTACAAAAAAAAAACATAATTTCTTTAATTCTGCATCCATTAGTATGATTACCTTCTTATCTCTTTACTTTCCACCTGAAATTATAATTGATGAGAAAAAAACTGAAAACTTTTCCCTTTAGATCAGAAACAAGACAGGGATGTCCCCTTTCACCACTCATATTCAACATAGTGCTTGAAGTCCTAGCCACAGCAATCAGACAAGTAGAAGAAATAAAAGGCATTCAAATTGGAAAGGAGGGTATAAAACTGACATTATTTGCAGATGACATTATATTGTACATAAAAATCCCTAAAAACTCCACCAAAAAAATACTAGATTTAATAAATGAATTCAGAAAAGCAGCAGGATACAAAATTAACACTCAGAAATCAATGGCATGTCTATGCACTAATAATGAACTCTCAGAAAAATAAACTAAGAAAACAATCCCTTTTACCACTGCAACAAAAAATAAGATATTTAGGAATAAAATTAATCAATAAGGTAAAAGACCTGTACTTAGAAACTATAAGACATTGAAAAAGAAATAGAGGAAATACAAACAAGTGGAAGCATATACTATGTTTATGTTTTGTAAGATTAATATCATTAAAATGTACATACAACCCAATGCAATCTATAGATTCAACACAATTCCTATTGAAATACCAATGGCATATTTCACAGATCTAGAACAAATATTCCAAAAAATTATATGGAACCAAAAAAGACCATGAATAGCCTTAGTAATCTTGAGAAAGAAAAACAAAGTTGGAGGGATCACAACACTAGATATCAAACTATACTATAAAGCCACTGTTATCAAAACAGCTTGGTAATGGCACAACAGCAGGCATATAGATCAATAGAACAGAACAAAGAGCCCAGAAATGAATGCACACCTTTATAGTCAATTAATATTTGACAAAGGAGGCAAGAGTATACAATGGAGTTAAAACAGACTCTTCAATAAATGATATTGGGAAAATTGGGTGGTAAATGCAATAAAATAAACCTAGGCCACCAAGTTACACCATACACAAGAATAAGCTCAAAATGGATAAAAGACTTAAATGTAAGTCATGAAAACATAAAAATCTACAAAGCATAGGCAGTAAAATATCAGACATAGCTCAGAGCAATATTTTTGCTGATATGTCTTCAAGGCCAAAGGAAACACAGGAAAAATAAACAAATGGAGCGATATCAAACCAAAAAGCTTCTGCACGGCAAAAGAACCCATTGACAAGACAAAAAGGGAACCCATTGTATGGACAAAGATATTCGCCAATGATTCATCTAATAAGTGGTTAATCTCCAAAATATATAAAGAACATATACAACTCAACACCAGGAAGACAATCTAATTAAAAATGGGCAAAGAATCTGAATAGACACTTCTCCAAAGAGGACATAGAGATGGCCAAGAGACATGAAAAAATGCTCAAGGTCTCCAATCATTAGTAAGATGCAATGTACATTACAACGACATATCACTTCACACCTTTCTTTCTTAGTGGCTACTATCAATAAATCAACAAACAACAAAGGCTGGAGACAATGTGGAAAAAGGGAGCTCTTTCCCCACTCAGTGGAAAAAGTATAGGGTTTCTTCAAAAAATTAAAAATGGAACTGCCTTTTGACCCAGTGATCCCACTTCTGGGTTTATATATTCTAAAAATCCAAAAACACCAAGCAGAAAGGATGTATGCATCCCTATGTTCATTGCAACGTTATTTACAATAGCCAAGACCTAGAAACAGCTCAAATGCCCATCAGTAGATGAGTGGATAAAAAAAGTTGAGGTATGCTTCCATAATGGAATGCTATGCTGCTGCAAAAAAGGAATTCTTATCCTTTTTGACAGCATGGATGGACCTGGAAATTATTATGCTAAATGAAATAAGCCAGTCAGAGAAAGATAAATTCCTTATGATTTTCATAATATGTGGAATCTAATGAACAAAGTAAATTGATGAACAAAATAGAACCAGAGGTATGGATACATGGAACAGACTGTCAAATATCAGAGGGAAGGGTGGCGGGGGGACTGGATAAAGGAAGTTAAAGGGAATAGCTAAAGAACTTATATGCATCATAGCCTATGGATGCACAGACAATAGTGTGGTGAGGGTCAAGGTGGGGGTGGTAGGCAAATGGGGTGGGGTGAATGGGGGCATTTGCAATACTGTCAACATTAAAAATGTAAGTGCAAATAAATAATAAATCAGTTTCACAAAGACAGAAAAACCTAAGAAGAGATAGATAGAACTGGAGTGGAGGAAGAATAAGAGCAAGCATAGCAATGAAATGTAGGAAACTATCACCAAGAGCCACTCTAACCTCTGAGGCATTGAGTTTATGATAGGTGGGTATGTTTGATTGACTTAAAGGGTCAGAGTCATGATCAACACTGATAGAAAAATCTATGATATGGCTGAACATCTTTCCCCTCTATTTAAAAGACTTTATTGGCTTCCTGACAATTACAGGACAAAATCTAAGATTTCAAAATGACCTAAAAGGGCCTCCATGATCAGGCTAGTTTCTGTCTATGAAACCTCACCTTCTACCACTGCCAGATTGACCTCCAGGCTTTATCAACATTAAATATATGGTGGTTTTTTTGATTCCCTGTAATTTTTCACATATTGTTTTCTCTGCCTGGAATGTCTTCCATTTCTCATTTCTTGGGTAAGCTATTTATCCTTCAATTCCTATACAGACATCAGCAACTCCAGTAGGCTTTTAAGAATGCCCTTACCCCCAGAGTTATCCATCCATCTATCCATTTATTTTTTTTAATTATTGAGCAAATATTTATTGAGTAGTTAGTAGAGTCCAGATACTGGGAATACCCTGGTGAATAAAACAGATCAAACATAGTCTTTATCCTTCTTGAATTTATATTTAGTGGTGGGTACACAGACACAACACACATGCAAATAATCAGACAAATAAAATAATCATCATTTTACCAAGTGCTATGAATAAAATAAACAAGTAACTGGGATACAGAATGACGAGGATAAGTGGTAAATACAGAGGCAACCTATTTTAGTATAAGATTGAGCCATATGAAAGTGCTGGTATTCAACTGTTTTTGTTTTGTATAATTGGAAATGTATGTAGTTCAACTTAACAGCTGCCTTTCTGATGAATTGACATTCATACTGAGACATGAAGAATGATGTGGAACTAGCTATGGTGGCTAAGCTAGCATATTCCAGAAAGCAAGAAAAGACTAGAGAAGATAGAATTGAGAAAAGTGGTGAGTGACCCTAGGTGAAAGTAAGAGAAATAAGCAGGACAGATCATATAGGAATCTGGATTTGATTATTATAAAAATGTAAAGCCACTGTGGTATTTTAAAATCCTTCTTATTGTGGTGTGGGACTGGAATGGAAAGGAGTAAAGATAGAGATTTATATAAAGAGGCAATATAGCCTTGTGTTAGGTGTGAAGGATTTGCGGTCTGGCTACTTTGGTTTAAATTCTGGTTCTGCCATTTATTAGCTGTTACATTATGTAAGTAACTAAAATCCTCTAGTTATTAAGTTACTAAAATTCCCTAAGCCTGAGTTTCTCCATCTGTGAATTAGGGACAATAATAGAATCAACCTCATAGAGACTGAATGAGATAATCCATGCAAATCACTAACCAGTCTCTGGCAGAAAATAAACACTCAGTAGATACTAGATATTAATAGTCCAAATGAGAGATGATAGTGCCTGGATTAACTGGATGACAATATATTTGGAGAGAAGTGAATAGATATGAGACCTTTTGTGGAAGTTTACACAACAGGATTTAGTAATGGATTGGATGTGAAAGTTGAGGGAGAAAGATTTTGTTCAGGTGTATCTGAATTTCGAGAGTGCTGTCAAAGAATGGAGTAGATTGTGCTGCACTTTCACAAGATGGAAAGGTCTTCCTGGTACAGGATTTTGCAATAAAAAATTGTCTCACTCCTCATACCATATGAGGCAGAATCAAAGAAGGGGAAAAAAGGTATGTATTATACACTGTAAAAAGAAATACTTATTAAACATTTTAGATAGCAGAACCTTACATGAGTCATATAAAACACTTTATGTTTATTTGTACCACAATGTCCACAATATGCAAAAATCTTAAATATGTCTATTTGTTGTTCCTAAGGTCTAAGTTTTGAAAATTTCTACTGTATGATGTGATAACAGTGGACAGTTAAGCTTATGTATTTATTTTCTTGTCTTATATTCAAGCTGCTTTATAATCATTCCATCTGCTTCTCTCACAGAACAGAGCCCACTTGGTATACCAGCAGATGAAGAACTTAAGGAGTGTGTCTAACCTTATTCACCTTAGCAACTGAGAGTCTGCTCTGTGACCATTAGGCACCATGGGAAAGAGAGATAACCGGGTAGCCTATATGAATCCTATAGCAATGGCCAGATGGAGGGGCCCATCTCAACCTGTAGGCCCAACAATACAAGATTATCTGAATCGACCAAGGCCCACCTGGGAAGAAGTGAAGAAAAAAATAGAAAGTAAAAAGAAAGGTTCCAAAGCATTGGCAGAATTTGAAGAAAAAATGAATGAGAATTGGAAGAAAGAGCTAGAGCAAAGCAGGGAGAAAGCATTAAGTGGAAATGAGGGTCCGTCCAGAAAAAGAGAACGAAAGAAAAAGAAAAAGAAGAAATCTTGTCAGTCTTCATCTTCTTCATCAAGTTCTGATTCTTCGAGCAGTTCTTCAGATTATGAGGTTGAGAAAAAGAAACGAGGAAAAAAGAGAAAGAAAAAGAAGAAGCATTCACACAAATCATCAGACAGCTCTACATATGAATCTGAATCAGAAAGCAAAGAGTATAGAAAAAAGAAAAAGAAGTCAAGGGATGAAACAGAGAAAGAAAAGTATATTAGAAGTGTCAGCAAAAAAAGAAAGAAGACTCACCCTGAGGATAAACCTCTATCATCAGAGTCCTCATCAGAATCAGATTACGAAGAGGAGATCCAAGCAAAGAAGAAGAGAAGACATGAAGAGCAAGAACAAACAATGGAAAAAACAAAGAAGAAGAAAAAGAAACATCACAAGAAACATAGTAAGAAGAAGAAAAAGAAGTCCAGTTAAGTCACAAGTCAGGATAACATCAAGATGAAATAAAGCAAGATTTCTCTATTTAAAAAGCAAGGCCTAAAAGAAAATCCAACTGTGAATGTTTGGGCCCATTTACCAAAATGCATGAATTTCCCTGTGTTAATAGAATTATTCTTGGACTTTGAATTTTCAGTCAAATGCCACTGTGTCAGAAAGGGCCATAATTGTTGCCTGTGACGTATATATAGGATTTTGTTTGTGTCTTTTTCCTTCCAGTGTTTACTCTGACACCTGAGATGCTGTTGTCACACTAGTGGTTAAAATGGTTGGAATTAAAGTAAAATGTTTTAGATAATATTTATGACAGAAATATATCTAATTTTAAAGTTATCTAATTTGGGTATATGTTATCCAAAAGATCCAGACAAATATAATTGACATTTTTGAAGCATGGACTAAACATTGATGTCTCAAAATCTTTATTTTTGAAGATAAGTTTAATTTATTTCATTTTTCTCCTTAAAAAACTTTTGTTTACATGGGGAAAGAGCTTGTGGGGGACTGGGGTGAGAGTTTGTTATCACTTTGGCTAGCTGAATAGTGTGCCTTTGATCCTTACACATTCTATTTTTGCCAGTGCAGCAGCCATTCTTTTCTTACTTAGTGAAATTCTGGTATGTTGTTGTATGCTGCTTCAAGTGAACAAGAAAGACAACAACTTAACAGTATAAGTAAGCCCCCAATTCTATGAAATTTACCTCTAATTCAACAGTACTGAATAGAATTTAGCATTAGAATGTTACATGATTTGCATTATCTTTGATACCCATTGGAGGGGAATAATTTTAAATAGACCCTGGTATTTTTTGATTAATAAAGATTCTGAAATATTTTGCATGTTTTATACTATTAATTTTTGATTATCCACAGATATTCTATATAACCGGTACTCCTTTTTATATGATTTATGCTTAAAATACAAGTTTCAAGTTTGTAATTTCTTACTCTTACTATATTAATTTCATTACTGTGTTTAATTTCACACTTGCGAAAATATTTAGCATGTACAAAAGAAGGTTTTTAAAAATTATTTAATGCCTTCATATTGAAGCTGGTTTACTGTAAGCAAGTTGAGTGCCAGACCTCTAGTATATTGTGTGTCTTGTTATACAAAACTACTGCCAAAATTTTAGTAAATATACTGTTTTTAAAGATTGTTGTCTTAAGCATTACTAGTGAATTAAAATAAGAGTTGAATTTGGGAGATAATGATATCATTGATCTTCCTATGTCATATTTTACTAAGAACCCGTGCCTCATTTCTGTTGCTGATTCTTGTTAACCACTAATGCTGAAATGAGTTGAAAATTATTTTTACTTTACATTTTTATATATCAGAATAATATGATTTATAAATTGGTGTTTCAAAAAATACCTATTACAGGAGATGGGCCAATTGTAATGTCATATGTACAAAATATTTTGGCATGATGAGAGTCAATAGCTATTTTTTTTTAATTGCCCATTTCGCGTCGGGTCCCTTGAATCACAAGCAAAACTATTATAAAAATAGAAAACATCAAGTAGGTAAATAACATATTGGCTCCTTACATTTTTGGAGTGGAATAAGAAAACCTCTCGGTGAGGTTCTTGAAAAATTATAAATGTAATAACATGTTAAATAACATTAAAGCTTCGTAACATGTGTTTCCTAATATATATAATCTATATATCTATAAGCTGATAAATTTATTATATTTAAGGGATATTTTGTATCCATATAAAGTTTTTCAAAAATTGTTGTTCATTAAAATATGAAAAAGCTTATATCATTTGTGGAAAGTGGCAAAGACAATGACAACTTATCAAATGTGCTCTTATCACTACCCAGCCCATTGTAGTTGACTACTTCTAGCAGAGGGTTTGCAGAGAGATTGTAAACAGAAGCGATGTGTCCTTTCCATAGTGGAGCTGTAAAAAGTCCTGCCTGGATCCTCCAGCTCTCTCTTTACTTGCCATGATGATCTGAAACCAATGTGCTCCTAATGGCATTCCTATAAGATGGATGCAACCTGGGTCTCTAAGTCACTGTTTGTAAGTTACCTGTCCTGAAGAGCTGATGGACTTGCAGTGAATGTTTTTAGAGTGAGAAATAAATTGCTATGTGTTAAGCCACTGAGATTTGGGGGTATTTTTTGATACAACGGCTTCATCACCTAACCTAATCTAATAACATAGAGCTCTAGAATGTTTATTTCATTATTTACATAAAATAACTCATATCTTCTATCACATCTCTCTGTGGTCTGCAGTTGTTCAGAGGTGACCATTTATGCATAGTAGAAGGAAATGTCATTTCATTTGCATGGTTATTTTATTTAATGATTGAAGAAGAGAATAGTCCAGCACAGTGGTCCGCAAACTCATTAGTCAACAAAGCCAAATATCAACAGTACAATGATTGAAATTTCTTTTGAGAGCCAAATTTTTTAAACTTAAACTATATAGATAGGTACATTGTTATTAACTTAATTAGGGTACTCCTAAGCTGGCCTTTGCTAAAAATGTCCTCAATCTGATTGAGGTATGTTTGCTGAGGTCGACCCCTTCCAACTTCCCATCCACGCTCGTCTTGTATACTTGTGGGGGCGCCCACGTACAGTGCGATTGAAACTTCGTGGCCCATGCGCAGAAGTCGGTATTTTGTGGAAGAGCCACACTCAAGGGGCCAAAGAGCCGCATGTGGCTCGCGAGCTGCCATTTGCCGACCACTGGTCTAGCATAATATTTCATGCTTATCAGCAATGCTGACAGACTAGGACAGTGATGGCGAACCTTTTGAGCTCGGCGTGTCAGCATTTTGAAAAACCCTAACTTAACTCTGGTGCCGTTTCACATATAGAAATTTTTTGATATTTGCAACCATAGTAAAACAAAGGCTTATATTTTTGATATTTATTTTATATATTTAAATGCCATTTAACAAAGAAAAATCAACCAAAAAAAATGAGTTCGCCTGTCACCTCTGACACGCGTGTCATAGGTTCGGCATCACTGGGCTAGGAAGTAAAGCTTCATTATTCCTCTGATTATAGCCAAAACAATCTTCCAGGAAAGGTTTTGGGAAGGACATTTAAAAAAGCTCTCATGATGACTTTATGAAGAAGAGGAATGCTGTGTTTTAGAAGTAAGGCATTCATATATGGTACAGAAAAGTGATATGGACATATGTAGAGAGCAATAGGCTAAACGGATTCAGGTGATCATTTAATATGTAACCTCTATATTGAAATTTTTCCCTTACATGAAAAACACTAAAATTGATTTATGTGACTGATAAGAATAATACTTTTAGCTATAACATTCAACTAACTTTGTGGAAAGGGAAGCAGTGAGAAAGTCAATAAGAAAGTAGATGGGAGAGGACAACAATCAATATAATCTATATTAAGAATGTAATTGCAAGCACAAAAAGAAGAATTTGAAACATCTCAGGCTGTAAAAGGATTAGCTTGGACATAAGAAGAATGAATAAAATTTGAGGTTCTGGTTTTATATCTTGTATATGATAGTTCCTTTGTTTATTATAAATTTATCTTGAGAAAGTTGTACCTTTGGCATTGTAACTCTGTAGTTATTTCCTGTTTAGTTATATTTATTTTACAAAGAAATATTTAATATGATGAAGGTTTATAGCTACTTCTTGACTCATGAAAACTGTGGTCAAACATTCAAACATACCTATGCACTTTAGCGGTGAACTAATTTTTCTAATCCTTTCTGAGCTGAAAACAAGATGTGTTCTTTTTTTTAAAAAAATGGCTCTATCACTTTTACTTGACTCTTTCATGATATTTACCTTAGTCTACCTACTATTGTGTGTTTTGTTATAATTGTTCCTAACACTGGCTCTTGGCTAAGCACCAGGTTGAAAATCTTGGTGTGCCATTTCTTGATGTGTGAGCCCAATTAAGTTAGTTGTTTTTTTTTGTGGTTTTTTGTTTTGTTTTGTTTTTTTACCTTGGTGTGCCTCAATTTTCTCAGATACAAAGTCAGAAGAAATAATAGTGTCTATCTCCAGGATTATTACGAGAATAAGACAGAATAACATTGAAAGCATTAACACAGTTCTCGGTACATAGTAAATGCTCAATAAATGTTATTTCCTCTTTTTGCTGCTATCATCATCACCATTTTAATCATCATCAATATTATATCATCATCCTATCCCCACTACTGTATTTTAACCTCCTTAAAGGTAAGATGCTGTTTCATCTTTTATCTCTTGCAGTGATGGTACACAGTGTTTTGCATATGATAAGTGCCTCATGATTTTCATTAAACTGAATTAGTCGGTCAGGCCCTGGAAGAAAGGAGAATCTAAATGAATGCAATGTATCAGATGCTATGTATAAGCCCCTTACCTCACATTTTATGCAGCTTACTGAAATATAATTAATATACCATCTGATTTACCTTTTAAAACTATACAATGGTTTATACTGCAGGGGTCCTCAAACTATGGCCCATGGGCCACATGCAAATACAAATATTGTATTTGTTCCCATTTTTTTTTTACTTCAAAATAAGATATGTGCAGTGTGCATAGGAATTTGTTCATAGTTTTGTTTGTTTTTTTTAAACTATAGTCCGGCCCTCCAACGGGTCTGAGGGACAGTGAACTGGCCCCCTTTTTAAAAAGTTTGAGGACCCCTGGTTTATAGTATATTTATGGATACTTGAAAGCAAAACCACAATCAATGTTAGTACATTGTGATCACCTCAAAAAGAAACTCCATATTCTCTTTTTCATATCACCATCAGTTTCCATATTCTTAAACCACTATTGACATACTTTCTGTCTCTATAGATTTCCCTGTTCTGAACATTTCATATAAATTGAATTATATGTGGTCTTCTGTGGCTGGCTTTTTCCACTTAGGATAATATTTTCAAGGTTCATCCATTTTGTTGCACATATCAAGAACTATAACAAGATGGTATGAAAGAAAATCTAGTTCATCTACAAAATTTCTGTTAGAACCTGAAGCAATACCACCTCCATATTAGATGTGTTGGGTATCATTAGCCTGACTTACATTGCTTTAAATATTGCAAGCTACTGAGGCATTATATATTCTGGACATATAAATGTTCAAATAAGGATTTGTGAGAGATAATTGAACCAAAATTTATAATGGAGGCTGATAACATCAACAGAAGATGAGTAAGAATGGATATGCTAATATTCACCCCAATGAGCTACTACATTGAATGGTATAATCAAAAACTCTATCTGGAGTTCTCAGATATATTTTCCCAGAAACTGTTTACTAAAACCAAATGATGATTATTATTAACTAGAGGCCTGGTGAATGGATTCATGCAACAGTGGAGTCCCTTGGCCCGGCCTGCACCCTCTCACAATCTGGGACCCCTCAGGGGATGTCAGAGAGCTGGTTTTGGCCCTATACACACAGAGTATGCATATAAGATCTTTGGTTAATCTCTTCCCACCCACGGCCCTCCCCCACTTCCCTTTGAGATTCATCAGTCTGTTCCATGTTTCTATGCCTGTAGTTTCTGCTCCTGCATTGAACATCTGCTCCCAGGTGGTCAGTGTGCATAATAGCTATTGGCCAGTCAGCAGGTCAGCTGGTCACTTAGGCATATATATATTATAAATGACCTTATTGCTAGCTATTTGAGCATTTTTGCCCATTTAGAGAAGTAGATTTCTTATTTTTCTTTAATTTGAGCTGAAATAAAGTTTAAAGTTTATAGAATTATTTTATATACTGTAAAATGGGCGCCTATTCTGCTATCTTACTAAGAACTCAAAATGCCATAGCTCCATAGAAACTTATCTTACCTAATAATAGACAAACATGTAAATTAACCATCCCGCCACTATGCTCACCAGCCAATCCGGAAAGTATGCAAATTAACCCAACAAAGATGGTGGTTAATTTGCATATGTAGGCAAGAAGCGGCAGAGCAAAGACTGAAGGCTCCGGCTGGAGCGAAGGCCTGGGTCCTGGGTGCCAGAGGAAAACTGGTGCTGACAGTCAGGGGAAGGGAAGGCCTATTGCACGAATCTCTTCATGCAACGGGCCTCAAGTGAAATATAAATATAAATAGAAACCAATTTATAACTATTTTATAAGTTAAAATGGTTATATTAAGTCCTCAAATATTTGCATGGACTTTATTTTTCAAAACACATCTTGATGACCAGAAGAGAAAAATGGTGGCTGAATAGTCAGCAGTGTTGTGCACCTCTGCCTAGGGCTAGGCCAGAAAATCAACTAAATTGGAGAGCATCCACTGTGAATTAACAAATAAGACACAGATGAGGAGGCAATTTTCAATAAGGAAGGGGAAAGGACACCTAGAGAACATCCCTTGCCATGACCCATATGGAATCATCACCATGGCCCAGCAGTGAGTAGTGCAGTACCTCCTAGCAGGCTCCCAGAAGTCTGCAGGGAGCATGCACCACCAGAGTGAGCTCCTGCATCAGGCCTCCTCACCAGCTCGCTGCGACCCAACATCTAGGA